GGGGGGAGGGGAGGGGTCAGTGCACGAAAATGCGTTGTCCACGCTTAGTCACATCCCGCAGTCAGGGAACTTTTGAAGACTTTAAAAAATCACAGCCAATTAAAAATAAGTAGCATTAGACCAAAATGGATTTTTGACGTCAACGTCATGAGCTGTCTCCGGAGAACTAATTTAAATCTTTTATTACAGGCAGTACAGACCGGTAACGGTGTGACGGTCGGTTACGGTGTGTTGCGTGAAGCATGCGCTCAAAATAGATACATCCTTGGTCCGCTGTATGCAGACAGTGAAGCAGTGCTTGTTCCATTGATACATGCCTATCTAGATGGCCTCAAGCCTACTGATATTATTCAAGTGCGTATTCCAACTATCAATGTGGAGAAATTTAAGCAGGCCCTAACGCATTGCGCATTGATCGAATTCCAGGGCGAATTTACACCGCAATACACAAAAAATGCGCCGGATCTTGATCCTCAGTTCGTCTACAGTATTACTGATTTCAGCGCCCCACTGTGATATATGCTCTTGCTAATGCATAATGATTTTTACTCCGTACACTTCAGTAATTGGCTGCTTTTGTACAGGCATAAAACTGAATTTACTTTTAGTACATTATGCAAATAGGATGTGCTTACCTTAGTTGCTGCACTGGGGGATCTCAAGAATAACTTGGGCACTATGCCAGCTACGAACATTGACAACAGCCGAAATCCAAGACACTCCAGTTTCGGGGAAACACTGAACAAGAGTCCTGAAAAATGTTACGGCCCGCAACACCATAGTTACGACTGGCAGTGGCAAGGCCTAAAGAAATGAAGGGGCAGTTGCCCGTCAGAGGAACGTTGGAAGCAAGTGTCGGATTAAAAGCCAAGCAGGGACAGAGAAAACTGGAAAACTGAAAAGCGACTAAATCCATTGCGCATGGGAGGCGAGGCGAAGGCAGTTGGAAATAGTGAGATTGATGGCACGTGCTAGAAGCATTCACCAACTTACGTTTCTCCCTCTTCCAGACATGTTCAGAAGTAAGCTGATGGTCGCACCCTGGCACACGGACTATACAAATTTACTACCAGAAT